CCCGACCCATCGCCGGCCCCATTTTTCTCCGCCCGGCATTTTCTGTTCGTTGTATTCGGTATGTATTTGTGGCTTTGGTTTGATCCTCTAGTCTGATTTGGTAGTGTGTATGGTTTTGTCAGTCAGATCTGCTGCCCTTTTGGATCTCGCATGTGGTAATCCCCACAACTATTTTTCATGCAGATGTGTTGTTGCGCTTGTTAGTGGTATTGAATCTCATCTGTCTTATGTGCTAGGTTAGGGTTTGCCTTGTAGGTTTTATTTGAGTTGTTTCAGTTGGTAGTTGGAATTCGGGTGGTTGCCATGGGCAGCTGCTAATTTCATACATGGTGGATCGTGTTTCGGTGACTTTAGTGCCTTGGTCACCTTGGATTCTCTAGTGTTTTTGTTTGTGGTTGTAGGTTATCTGTCCCCTGGGTCATTTGTTGATGTAGGTTTGTATGCAGTGTTCTTTGTGATTTTGCTTGTATAGCTAGTCAACAAGCTTAAGTTGTCATACGTAGTGCCTTTTGCTTGCAGACTTCAGCTCTGTTCTTTGTGTTTCTGTGAGATATGTATTTTTCATTTCAGCTATGTAAATGTTTGATTGCTCTACTAGAAATCCCTGTTTTCTTAGTGGATTTACAGTGTGTTTTCTTAGTGTTTTACACTATAATTCTCGGTGAATTTACAGTGTAATTTCTTAGCGGATTTACACTGTAATTTTAAGTGGATTTACACTGTCATTTTTAGTGGTTTTATACTATAATTTTTAGTGGATTTACACTGTATTTTTAGTGGATTTATACTGTAATTTGCAGTGGATTTACACTGTAATTCTTACTGGCTTTACTCTATAGTTTTAGTTGATCTTTCATTATAATCCTATAAGAATTTCACTGTATCTCTTGATTCTCTTGATTTTTACAGTGTAATTCTTAGTGGATTTAGACTGTAATCCTTAGTGTTTTTGTAGTGACTGTTAGTTATTCTTGGATTTACCTTGTATTTGCACTGCAACTCTTGATTTTTACAGTGTAATTCTTAGTGGAGTTAGACTGTAATCCTTAGTGGAGTTAGACTGTAATCCTTAGTGTTTTGTAGTGATTGTTAGTTATTCTTGGATTTACCTTCTATTTGCAATGTAACCTTGATTTTTACAATGTAATTTTCAGTGTATTTACACTATAATCCTTAGTGTATTTTGGCTAGGGTCTGTTAGTGGGGTTTTACCCCTCTAATCTGCATTTGACTAGGGACTATTATGTGGATTACTTCTGTATTATCATTAGTGGATTTTACAGTGTAATTCTTATTGGATTTACGGTGTAAGTCTCAGTGGGCTTACACTGTAATATTTCAGTGGATTCTACCCTTAGTGAATTTGACTAGGGACCGTTAGTTGGATTTTACCCTTGTACTCTGCAGTTGAGTAGGGTCTATTATGTGGATTTTTTTAGCTCTGAGCATTTGTCAGGTAGCCAATCTCTGTCTTGTTTGTAATTTACTTTCATGCATTTGGTTGTTTCTTTATTTATTTTTTTACCCTGATGACATTTCAGCTTTGCTATGTAGGTTGCAAGTCTGTTGCTCTTGACTCTACGAAGAAAGCATCAAATGATCCGTCGGTTAGTAAATCTGCTGGTAATGTTTTGTCAAACGAGGGTACAAAAGGATGGTCCAAATTTGGTTTCTTGTGTGTGCCATGTGTATCGGTGCTTAGTTTTATTTTCGGTTTCAGTGTGATCTTCATACTAATTACATTTAAAAGATCACCGTGATTATAAGTTCAAGTGACAGTAATTTGCCGTTTTATATAGTTCCAAAGGTTCTCATATTCAATCATACTTACATTTTGGTTTCTGAGCAGGAACAAATTAGTTTCTCTCTAGTGTATAGTTTGTCTGTCCCGAAATTATTAGTGTAATTTTACGAGTTTTTTCAGTGTATTTTCTTAGTGTAATTTAGTTTATTCTCCGTTTCATTTCTGGACTTTGCTCTGTAAATCCTAGCTCTGTTTTTAGGTGTTTCTACTGTATTTACACTCTAAATCTACTATGAAATGTCACTAGGTTTCAGCTGGAATTATTGTATTTATAGTGTAATTCTAGTGTAAATTAAACTATAAATCTGCTGCAATTACTGTGGAACTCACTGTAGTTTGCTCTATAACACTATTGTATTGTACACTGTAGTTCTACTATAAATACACTATATTTACACTGTAGTTCCATTGGTCTAGAACTGGAATTACAGTTCGCTTACACTGTAATTCTAGTGGTATAGCGATGTAATTCAAACTATAGTTACAATGGAATTTTCAACCTGGTCCACTACTGTAGTTTTTATTGCTTACCACTGAATTTTTAGTGGCCTACTACTGTAATTATAGTTTGTCTGCCAATGTAAATTCCTTATCTGCCAGTGTAATTTAGTTTGACAGGTTCTTTTTCTGTTCCTCTGTAACCACAGTGTAAAAACACTTGTTAGACTTTTCTTTTGTGTAGGATCTACTCATCTATATATGGTGTAACATTCAGTGAACTAGTGAATGCTAATTCTTATTGGTTTCTTTGGTGATCTCTGGATTTTAAGTTTATAATTAGAGTGCTCTATGGATTGTGATATGCTCTTTCGCTTTGGTAGCAATCCGTTGCTGCTCAAAGTAGAGCAATATTTTTTGCATTAGCTAATGACTTTTTTGCAGGATTTCTTTCCCTGTTGTCTTATATGTAAATTTCACAATGATAGTACCTTGTACATCATTTGCGCCTGAAGTAGTTGAGTAAAAGAGTATGCCCCACTCTGTTATTTTGTCAAGAATCAAGTTAGAAAAGCATGATTGAATATGTTTGTTCATTTTTTTAGTTTTCTAATGCTAATAAAGTCATACATTAAGGAAATCAGCTTCGTCATGTTCGAGGTACAGCTCCTCCCCTTTCATGCTAGATTCCGTTCCCTTTGATCCCATTGCAGGCACCTGTAAATATTATCAAAAAAAGTACAAGCAGTGAACTGTTATCGAATAAACAATAACTATCTAGATTGTTTGTGCCAATTAGTGTTAGTGCATAGCCTAATATTTTTCGAATCTTTTTATCCGATCATAGTCCTAAATCATATGCAATGATCATTTTAGTTTCAGTGTGTACTCATTTGAAATTACAAGTAAAAGATCATAGCATTTCGAACTTCAAGCACAAATAAAAGGTATTTGTATACAATTCCAAAGTTTATAAAATTCAGTCATAGATTCATTGCTTTTCTTCAGGAGTAAATTTATAAACATCATCATAGTTTCTGATTAGTGTACAATTTTTGTCACTGTCAAAGTGTTTGAGATTACAGTCATAGCTTCATGAAAATATAGCATTCCTAGCCTTTTTTGTTCAAGCATTTTTTCCTAAATGATTTCATATCTTCCTGAACATGCTCCCCCTAATCGTTTTTTTCTTTTGACCATGTGTTGTAACTGTAGTTGTGAATTCATAAACTTGCAAGTAGTTTCTCTGTTCTTGACTCCCTAGACTACTTTGGTCCTACTATTCTTCCTGGTTCTATTGTTTTTTTGTGACACGTAAGCACACTTTCAGAGCTCAATGTTTGGTCCCTGCAGCAAGTAAGTGAGGATTTGAACTGTGTTATATTTTCTTATAGTTTTAATAAGGTTTCTTTTTCATGATTACCCTGCCTATGATCTTAGATTTGGTTTGTGAATCTGATGTGTTTCTTCAGCTATGTAATGATCCACACATGGTTGTCTCTTTCAGATGTACAGAGTCATGAGAGAGATCTGTTTTACTCATGCTAGATGTGTGGTGAATGCAAACAAAGGAGGTGTTTACCTGTGAATGCTTTGGTTCATCAACCATGATCTTCTTCAAGCTTGTGTCCCAAAACATGGAGGAAACGCCATCGCTTTGCTGCTTTTGTGTCCGGGTTAGAGAAGAAGGGGGTGGACCCGTTAAAAGTTTTTATTTGATTTGTGCGGTTTGTTTAAATGAGTGGGACAGGAAAAGGGACATACAGGGGACAAGGGACAGAGGACAATTGCCACATTCCAGTTGGCTGAAAAATCCGGATGAAACCCAATTGATTTTCAGCCGGATGCCAATTAGACAGTCCCTTGTTTTTTGTCCGAGCCGGACCCGGAAGGAAGCTGGTTCCATACTCTCTCTCTCTCTTTTTTTTTTGAAAAGGAGCTGGTTCCAACCGTTTCGTCCCTCACAACAGTGCCATGCTGGGCGGCAATGATGGACACACGGCTCCACGCGTGCCGAGCGTTGTACAATGTAGTAGTAGCAACCAAGTGGAAGAGATTCAGAATGCAGGTCAACGGAGCCTCCTCTCCGCCTAGATGGCCCAACGGACAACACACCGTATCGTATCCAAAGCATACTACAGTACTCTGCATTTGTTTAAGAGAATACAGAGTACGTTACTTGGCACTTTGGCAGGCAGAGCACGCATCGCGCACGTCATTAACTATCCGCTAAACTAGACCTGCAAAAGTCAATACTCAATTCCATGGCCACGCTACTCTATTCCAGGTCCTCTGCAGCCACGGTCCAAAGCGACACACCGAACCTGCTCAGGAACGGCAAAAAACAAGCGCACCCGACACCGACGGAACCAGCAAAAACAATGGCAGATGCAGATGAGCCTGCCTGCATGTCCTAACAACGGTGAGCTCACCCGGAACAGTGACCCGCACCTGCATGTCCTAACCCGCACCTAATGCCGCTTTAATTCCCCGACTAATCTACACCCCCCACACGCTAACCTCGGTCGCTCTCTGCCCCAATTTATTCCCCCCGCGACCCCCCACGCAAAGCTTCCCTCTCCCCCTTCCCCTAATCCCGCAAGTACCACCATCCACCATGCCAAGATCCTTCACCTACTCGTAGGAACTAGGAAGCGCATGCCGAGGCTCCACCTTTCTTGGCCGGACCGTGAACCCGAGCCTGGCCTTTGATCCGTACTCGCTACAAGGTCGGGTGCTGCTCTGAGGAGGGGGGTCGATGAGCAACTCGTCGTGGACGGCGCCGTCGGGGGCGGGGGCGGGGTCGTCGGCGCTCGAGACGGTGGAGACCAAGATCAGCCCCAGCATCCTCTTCATCGTCGCCGTGCTGGCCATCGTCTTCTTCGTCTGCGGCCTGCTGCACCTGCTCGCGCGCCACCTGCTGCGGCTGCGCCGCCGCCGCCGGGCCGCCCGCGACGACGCCGAGAGCGTCACCGCCTTCCAGGGCCAGCTGCAGCAGCTCTTCCACCTCCACGACGCCGGCGTCGACCAGGCCTTCATCGACGCGCTCCCCGTCTTCCTCTACCGCAACGTCGTCGTCGGCGGGGACGGGGGCGGCGGGGGGAAGGACCCGTTCGACTGCGCCGTGTGTCTGTGCGAGTTCGCGCCTGATGACCAGCTCCGGCTGCTCCCCAAGTGCAGCCACGCGTTCCACCTCGAGTGCATCGACACCTGGCTGCTCTCCCACTCCACCTGCCCGCTCTGCCGCAGGAGCCTCCTCGCCGCCGGCGACCTCGAGCCCACCTGCAGCCCGGTGCTCATGGTCCTCGACTCCGCCGACAGCTCCCGCGACCTGGCCGCCTCGGCCAGGCGCGCCGACGCCGAGCCGAGCGGCGTGGCCGTGCGCGTCCCGGGGCTCGACGGGGCCGAGGAGGTGGTCGAGGTGAAGCTGGGCAAGTTCATGTGCGTGGATGGCAACGCCTTTGCCGTCGCCGACGCCAGCGGAGCGGACGGAGCGGGCACCAGCAGCAACGCCAATGCCGACGCCGACGCAGGGCTCGGGCAGAGGCGGTGCCACTCCATGGGCTCCTACGAGTACGTCATGGAGGAGCGCGCGTCGCTCCGCGTGGCCATCGCCAAGCCGCCGCCCAAGAAGAAGCGGCCCGCGTTCTCCAGGGCGCGCCGCGGCGGGGGCGCCATGTCCGAGTGCGAGTTCGGCGCGTCCAAGCGCCGCGGGGAATCCTCCTCGCTCCGCTACCCGGTGATCCCCACGGCGACGGCGGCACGGAAGCAGCAGCCTCCCCCCGACCTGCCCGCCGCGGCGAAGCTCGCCAAGGACAGCTTCTCCGAGTCCAAGATATGGATGGTGCCGCCGGCGTCGTCCCGGAAAGGGGACCCCGACGCGGGCGGGCGGCGCACGGTGTCGTTCCGGTGGCCGATGCGGAGCGGCAAGGACGGCGAGGAGGAGGCAGGGGGCGAGCGGAAGAGCGGGAGCGAGGTGGACTGGGGCGACGTGGAGACCGGCAGCGGCGGCGGCAACAGCGTGGTGTCGTCGCTCGCGGAGGAGCGGCCGTCGTTCGCCCGGCGCACCCTGCTCTGGGTCGTCGGCGGCCGGCAGCAATCCAACCGGGTCGGAGACTGCTCGTGACCACCATCACCATTGTCGATCAAATCAAACCCCAACAAAAGAGAAAAAGGAAACAAATTCTTTCTTTTGTTCAGTTAGTCATAAGGATTTCGTCTTCTTTCTCCGTCCTTGTAGATCGCCATTGATTGCAAATTCGCAGCGGCGAGAAACCTGTAAATCCCACGAGATCGCTCTCACATCAGCTCGATCAGCAGCCACTCATTTGACAGTTGCTGTGGAGTTTTCAACCGATCGAGAACCACCGACGAACACCCGGCGACTTTTGCATGGGAGCGGATCGGAGCTGCATGCATCATCAATCATGGATTCTTTCCGGTGAAGAGCGATCGCCAATCAATCATGGCGATGCGGAGGCGGGCCAAGGGAGGCGCTGCGCAGTTGGAAAGCGGGATTTGTTTGGTCTGTCGGCGCGTGATCGCACATGTGAGCAAGTGCCACCACAGTCCTCTCCTCCGTCGGTCGGTAGCTTCCGGGAATTCGGCGGCGTCGCTTTCGCTCCTCCGAGGCCAACCACGCGCGCATATGCTGTCCAGTTCGGCAACGCATCTGATCTGAATCTCTTGCCCCCGGCTGTGAAACGATGCAGATCAACGCGGATTTTTCTCCCGTCATCACCTCCAGGAAGACCCAGGAGCTTGCTGGCTGTGGCACTGAACGACGGAACCGGGCCAGAGCTGAACCAGAGGAGCTCTTGCTTGCAGTTTTGGACTGGTGTTCATGTCACCAAAGATTCAAAATTTTCATGGACCCGGCGATTCAGAAGTTTACCAGCATAGTCCACTGCTGCATTTACTCCTGGGCCTGGCGATCTGTACACTGTACTCTGCTCTTTTTACTAGTTTGAGTCAGAAATTTTAATGCAACCACGCCGTTACTGCGAGGTCAAACGGCATCTGGGCTGTCGGTTAACATTTTGATTTTTCAGTTCATCTGGAGCGGCGGCGGTGGAGCCGGAGCTGGGTTGGCATTTTGCCTGTGCAGTTAAGCCGCCCATCAATGCTCCCGTCCCGACCAGGCAAAATTTGCTGCCATCCACGCGAGCCGCACGGAAACCTGCGCTAATCCATTTACTCGTACGTACTACCTCCGTCTAGGTGAATAAATCATTCGCGTAGTTCTAAATCATCGATTTGAGAAATTAAATATGTGTTATATGTCATGAAAAGTATATCAATAAATTTATACACGGATATAGTTTCTAAATATTTTTTTTTTGTCTCGTATAATATATATTTAGATAGTTAAATCGTCGACCTAAAACTACGCGAATGATTTATTCACCTAGTACTCGCTTTGCCGCTGTAATTAGCTGGGTACTTTTGCACTGCTCGGTGAAAAGGCGCTTTACGCTGGCCACCAATGGCAGTGCGGTTAGTGGAGCGGCAGGGGCATAATTTCCTTTTTTCTTCGATTGAGGAGGAGAACACGATTTCCTTGGTGGATCACAAGCATTTTTTGTTCTCAGGGAGAATCCGATGAATTCCATGCGGAAAATTTCACAAGACGACAGTTGAAGCACAAGCATTTTAGTAGATTGCAGTGACTCCCCATAGACCAAACAAAACTACGGTGTAGAGTCGATCATGCGGAACAGGAGTATTTGACAAAAGAAAAGAAAAAACTATCGCAATTGTTGCGAAAAACTACCGAAATGGATTAATGGCCGTTGTATAGGATTTAAACACGTTTATGACAAGCGGGCCCCACCCGCCAGGGTTGACATGACAGAAAACTCAAGGGTGTGTCTATGGCACATCTAGATGTGCTCTAATTATTGCACATCTAAGTGAGTGAGTTAAGCATAGAGAGAAAGAGAAAAAAGAAAAAAAAATATCTACACGAATCTCAACATAAGATCAATGACATAGGACTTAGATATGCAATACTTATAGCACATCTAAATGTGCTTTAGCAAAACTGAAAACTCAACACCATTTTTTTGACTGTTAAGTAGACCGTTATCACAGCTGGGCCATGTCACCATCAACCTTCTTCTTTCTCCTCCTGTTCCTGTCTCTTTGGCATTTCAACAAGCTCCTTCTCTGCATTGGGCAGCACCCCGTCCGAATTGGAGCGCGCTGCCACCGGGGCAAGGACCGTGGGTTCCGGCTCGCGTGCCATGACGCACGCCAGCCACCCGCCTATCAGGCCACGAGGTCGTCGCCATCTCGCTTGGGCTGGAGGACCATGGCACAAGGAAATATGGCCAGTATGCGCGATTGACGTACGTGTTGACCCCAATTGTGATGTTTCTTTGTCAAATACTCATGGAATTGCCTAACAAATGTTGCTGGCTTCCTGCATGTCTTTGTTGCAGGATTTCATGCCGTCACGTGCCCTATATGCAAGCTTCCTCATCGGCGGTCTCCTATTCTCCACGCGGGAAGCCTATGCCCTCGCCATGGGAAAGATGTCAACACCCATGCTACATGCATTTGGTCCTCTTGTGTGCCGGGCCAGGGTCAACATCTTCGCGTGTTTGCGGTTCCATGGTCGCCTCTTCTCAAAGGC